TGCCTCCAATGCAGAGCCCTCATCAGAGCCTTCCCCAGACTCCAGGACTGGCCCATGTTCCTCCCCAACCTCCTCACTGTCCGAATCTGCTGCCACCTCTGCTGGCTGCTGGTGGGTCACAACAACTGAGCTTTTAGTATACTGCCTTGACTGGAAAAGTTCTTAAAAGTTCAAAGGGACATTCAGAGATGCCTCTTCCTTGAAAGTAGACCATGTTGAACTGTATAGCACAGCCAAACCTCAGCAGTTGACCACAGGACGTATTTTATGATGTTTTTATTGTGTCATGAAATGCTTTTATGATCATTTTCATGTCATAAAATACTCTATAAAATTTCCCAAATTTCGCTTTCATGGGAGTCAATTGGTCTCAGAGGTGGACACCTTCTACAAGTTCGCTCTTTTGAAGTATCTTGGTAGGAAAAAAATTGTTGCCCATCAATGTACCGTTTTGCCCAGTGGAAGGTTACACAAAGATAAACGGGAGAGTTTTAGTAATGTATGCATGACTGAGTGACCCCTTGTATATAACTGGCAGCATCCTTTTCACTGATGTGTTCACTGATGACATTTGAGCCCAAAGTATTATTGCGGCTGTAGTCAGAAAACAGCATAATGATACAAAAGATCTAAATCAAGCCTGTCAACTGGTGGCCCGCGGGCCAGATATTGCCTGCACAAGCCACACCCACCCCAGCTCCACAAAGGCAGTAAACATCCTGATACGTTACAATATGGCCCGCGATGCAATCAGGTTTGACACCCCTGACCTGGATAAACAGACTGAGTGTGATGACATCATCAGTGATCAGTAGAACCTGTGAACCAGCATAGAGATGTGATCCCCTTCCCTGGAGGTGTCTAATCAGAGGCTGGATAGTTATCTCTTGGGGCTGCTTTAATGTGCATTTTTGCACTGTTAGATTGGATTTCAGGGCCTGAATAAGCTCCCAATCCTGCAGCTCTTGAATATGCCTGACCAGGGTACAGGATTCACATACTTGGCAAGTATGCTGTAAATAAGTCATACCGTTGTTTGGCATCTTTTCCAAGCCTGATTCTCACTGAGTCTTCTTTAGTGAGATTTATTAAGGAGAAAGGGGTGGAATTACAAGAGCTCTTGACAATTAAACTGCTTATCTACAGCCAACATATTCTGAAATACATCAGGGTGGGAACTTCCTTTTCTTCCTGATTGCCATGGTGTAAATTAGCAGGTTTCTTCTCCGATAATGCTAGAACTTGCAGCTGGTTACAGGTAGTCCTTGATTTATGGGACTCTTATGTGAACACAACTACTGAGTCTGCCTTTGCTTATTACGCATTTCATATGAACTCAAAAGAGTCCAGAAAATAAGTGAGATGCCAACATTGTCTTTGTGTGTAGCAATTTCAAGTCCCCCCCAAATAAGATATTTGGGACAAATTCTACTGAGCCTTAATCAAAATGCCAAGGGTGACCTTGATCAGAAGAATAAAGTCAGGGACATAACTAAGAAAGAAAGTGAATGCAGTGGTAAACGTGACATGACAAATAGGTAACTTTTGTATGTATCTGAAATCAGAAGAATCTCAAACATTTTCCATCTTTGGTTTTACTAATAGTTCTATCGAACAACCTTGCCATCAACCAGAACAGAAAGAGAATTTGGCTGTTGTTAGGTAAGCTCCCCATTGGGAGAGCGAGTACGTTCAGCGAAGCGTTGTGAGAGTTGTGTTGGAGAACACACAAATCAGCATACAGAGACACTGCAGTTTAAATAGGCTTTTACTTTCATGGAAATAGAGGTATCAGAGTCCATCAAACAGTCCAAGTCATACATGGTTAAGACAGTCAGTCATCAATGTCTTTCAGTTAAGGGATAATCCAAATAACATAGTCCAGTATCATATAATCTGGTACACAAAGTTTGCTAACAGTTGCAAAACTTACAATAGCTCACGGCACTTTGTAACAGC